TGTCTTTGGGACCAACACCATGTATTTGGTATCCTCCTCAGCTGGGAATTGTGCAAGACTTGCATCTTGCATTAACATATAGTTTATGTAGGTAGACACTTGATGCTACAAAGGGAAGACATGACTTCTACCCCAAGCAGTTGATACTCTAAATGTACACAGTTTTAATAAAAAGTAGACCGTAAAGCCATCTAAAACAACATCCTCACTATTAATGAATTTCTATTTTAGAAATTTAATTGAGCTTTAATCACATATATTGGTGAAAGTATAAAATACTGTTATAAACAATAGGATTTGATTAAATTCTGTAATTTCTTATTAAGCCTTTCCATCACAGGTTTATAAAAGCTACTCAGTTTTCTCTATGAATTCGAATTTGTTGTCTGTTAAGCACTTGCAGATTCTTATTTTAACGTAAATTGGCTTTTTCTAAAAGTACATATAGTTTAGTGCAAAATGGGTTGCAGTACCACTCACTTGAATTAACAACAAAAAAAAAACCAGGAAAATGCAAATAACTGTTAGAATTGGTATACTCCAGAAACCCAAGTGGAATACAGAAGTTTATCTGAGTAAGTGTGATAATTAGAGAAAGAATGTGTGTATGTATGTGAAAGAGAGAAACAGAAGACAGGGAGAGAAAGAGACAGAGAAACCTTTTGGGATTGGACTTTGTAGTTAAGCAATACAGTGTGTGTGAGTTCTCTTCAGGTGACTCAGAAAGTCTCCCTACCCACTCATTGGTAACTCATACAGTGGCAAGTGCTGACCTTGGTGTCCCATGACCTGAGCACTGATCCTGGTCATCTTGGCCACCTCACCTTATTCAGATCCAATTTGTGCACCACAGAGAGGTGATCCAGCCAAATACTTACTTGTGTATTTTACAGGGTTATTGTAAGAATTAGTGAGATGAGGTATGTAATGCTTTTATACTTTACAGATCTAAGAAAGAACTGTACCTTATTCTTTGGAGCCTAAGGAGATGTTTACTCTGCTTTCATTTACTCTGATAGTGGAATGTTTTAAGTGCCTAAGCACCATGCTTAGGATTCTGGAGCAGTGATTTCTAAAGATGGGTTGTACTAGGAGATTGCATTGTGGGCTCAGAACTGATTAGAAAATGCAAGATCTGTCTTTGGTTCTTAAGGGAAAATAATCTGAAGTCTGCCATTTTTACTTAATAAAGGTTTGTTTACCAATAACCTATAAATTCATAGAAACAATATTCTAGCAATAAATCCAACAGTTCTTGTCCATGTTGCAAAGTGTCTCCTGGGCTTCTGTACATGTAAGTAATTGGAATTCATGAAATAATTTGGGAACACATGTTTGTCAGCATATAGTATCATTTTGAGTTCAGATTTTTCATGTACCATTCTTACTTTTTAATTAAAAAATTCTGTAGTTTTATTTCATCATTATTATAATAGCCTTGTATGTAGAGTATATTTTCAGCCCATAATTTTTGAATAGCTATTGCTTAATGAGAGTTGCAAAAGTATAAATCTCTTAACTTTTGCTTTCATGTTGACATTTAATTGTTATCGCTGAGTTTATACCCCTAATCCACTAAAAAGTAGGAAACTGGTAAAATAGGGCATTTGTTCCAAGTAATTGGAGAGGGTGGAGAAAGTCATAAGAGCCACTGCTCTGTATAGGTTGTAAAAAAGCAGCATTAAACATGGCACTTGCCCTCACAGGAGTACTAAAGGTAACATGAAGTAATAGGAAGGGTAAATGTACTCACCTGTGTGGGTTGCATGAGCCATCCTTATGAGCCTATTTACTCTTGCTAACGAATGACTGGATCACTTCTTACTGGCTTTCGTCCTTCTTTTGTAGACTCCTCAGACCCCTGCACAATTGAGAGAAAAGCCCGAAGAATTAGCGTGACCTCCAAAGTACAGGCAGATGTCCATGACACCCAGGCAGCAGCTGCGGATGGTTTGTACTTGTGTGTCAAGAGTTTGTGCAGAATGTCCAAAGACACATCATAAGTAAAACCAGACCTTTATTTTTTGCTTTAAAAAATTACTCTATACTGAGTTTCTAAGGCTGTGCTATCCAAGAGAAATATAATGTGAGCCACATATATAATTTAAAATTTTCTAGTAGCCACACTAAAAAAGAAAAATAGATCATTGGAACAGAATAGAGAGGCCAGATGTAGACCCTAACTCACACTGTCAGTTGCTTTTTGACAGAAGCACCAAAGCATTCAATGGAGAAAGGAAAATTTTTTCATAAGTGAGGCTAGAAGAACTGCATATTCATGTGGGAAAAAACAAATATTGATCTCTGCCTCACATCATACACAAAAATTTGAGATAGGTCATAAACCTAAATGTAAAAGTTAAAGCTTCCAGAAAAAAACGGCAAAGTATCTTTGCAACTGTGTAGATAAAGGTTTTAGACAGGACACAGGAAGCAATAAAAGGAAAAACAGGCTAATGAAGGCTAAAATTCAAGACTTCTGGCTCATCAAGAGATACTATTAAGAAAATGAGAAGGAAACCACAGACTAGGAGAAAATATTTGTGAAATATGTATCTGATGAAGGACTAGTATCCAGAATATATAAAGAACTTCTACAACACAATAATAAAAGGACAAAAATCTCAATACAAAGGGGCAAAACATGTGAGCAGACACTCTACAAAGGAATATATATATGAAAGACCATTAAAAAAGGAAATGTGACGGATCTGCTGCCAGGAGCCTATATAGTCAGAGTTGTGGTTTTCTGGCAGTGGTGATATTAATGTTATTAATGTCATCTTGCCTTCTGTCTTTGGGACCAACACCATGTATTTGGTATCCTCCTCAGCTGGGAATTGTGCAAGACTTGCATCTTGCATT